GCCACGGGCAGGGTCCCCCCGTGCCCACCAGGATGCCCTGTGAGCTGGGGTGGAGGATGGCTGTCGCACCCAGGGGAGCGTGCGGGCAGAGACGGTGCAGGGGAAGCACTGGGGCCAGGTGGGCTGCCCGGCCCCTTGTTTTTCCCCGCTGCGTGGGGATGCTGAACCATCTGCAGGAGGAGGAAACGCTATAAAAAGGCCGGGGGGCTCGGAGGGGACGTCCTGGCAGGAAGCAGCTTGAGGGGCGATCGCCGGGGCTCAACAGGCTTTTCCTGCCTTACAGCAAATCTCCCAGCTGCTCTCCCTGCTGCACCAGGGCCAGTTCCAGCCCAAAACAAACCACAGGGGAAACAAGTACACGGCCAAGAATGGCAGCAGGTAAGGCTGGCTTTCAGCCCTTCCCTTCCCCACGCCCCGTTCCCCTGCTTCTCTGCTGCCTCTGCTTCGGCCCCGCTGGCCCCAAGAGCCTCCAAGGGCAGGAGACACCAGGGCAGCAGACACACAAGGCAAAACCTTGTCCCTGGTTTTGCTGACCTGACATTGGGGAGGCAGGTCCTCCCTTCAGGGGATGGCTGTTCTCCTCTGGTCCTGGCTCCCCGTTAGCATCCAGCGCCCTCCTAGGGCTGCTTTTTGCCTCCTTCCTGGGGCACCTCGGGCAGCTCCTTCCATACCCACCTGAGCTCCTCCACAACCATGAACCTTCTGCCTGTCCTTGCTGGGGGAACACCGATGTGTTCAAGTGCGATGGAAAGGTGCATTGATGAGCACAGAGGGTCCCAGCTTTGTAGGCAGCGGCTCAAGGCTCTGGGTACTTTCTTAGAGATGCTGTTGCCTGTTGATGTGAGTTCAGGGCATCTGTCCCTGGGCCAGGAGGCTAGCAAGGGAGAGACCCTGCTAGCAGGGATGGGAAGGACTGAGATATCCCAGCTGGGTGCTGAAGGTGTTCCCAGGGACAAACTTTATGGCATTACCATTAAATTACAGCGTTGACATCTCTGGGTGAATGCTCCCAAGGACGCCAGAGCTTCATCACTGCCATGTCCCCCTTGTCCTGCCCAGGCCATGGGCAGACCCAGCTTTCTCCACCTTTCTCATCATCACCTCCACCTGCTGAGGATGGGGAGGGAGGGAGGACCGCGCTGGGGCAGGGCAGGACTGCATTGCTCCTTGCCTGGTCCTGCATGTGGGCAGCTCCTCCGAACGCACAGGGAAGAGCCAGCAGCTCCCTCTTTGCTCAGGATCTCCCTGCAGAAGGATAAAACCCCTCTCGGGCAAGAGATGTGGAGCAGCCCCATGTGTAGCCCAGCACCCAGCTGGGGCCCAGTTTTCAGAGGGTCCGTGACACTCCTGATCCCAGTGCTTTTGTTCATGCTTTTTGTTTTGTTTTTTTTTTAAAACAAAAACACAACCAAAAAAACCAAACAACAAACCCAAAACTCATTAATTGGTGGGGACTGAAATGATTATGCCTTCAGTACTGTGAACGATGCGCTGAGGGGATGCCCACACCCCACCTCTGGGTCATTTTATGGGGGCTAAAGACAACCACCTTTAAAGTAATCGGCGGGGCAGGGTCGTGCTGAGGGTCAAAGTGCGATGTGAGTGTTTTGGCCCCCTCGCAGGGCTGCGGGGCTGGACGTTGACTGCCTGAGCACAAAGGACAGCGGGCACGGCGAGAGTGAGGCGGAGGACCGCGATTCGGAGAACGGGTTTGAGCTCTCCGTGCAGCAGCTGGTGGGAGAGGAGCTGGAGCCCCTCCTGGAGCCACAGGCAGGTGAGGTGGCCTCGCTACTGGGACCATGCTGGGGCTGGTGGGTGGCTCCAGCAGCAGGATTTCCTCAAATAACACACTAACCCCATTCAGAAGATAAAACTGGCTGGCCTGTGGCAAGCCAGGGGACATCTCATCTCCTAGGGTGGCTCTGACAGTGGCAGGGGGTTGGGACAGCATGTATGGACCGTCCTATGCTGTTGGTACCAGGCAGTTTACAGCAAAGGGACTTGCTGAGATTCACATTGGATTTTTTCATGTTTAATGACTCTTGGTAGATCTTTCCCCCCATAGGTGTGCCTGCTGTTGTTGAGCTGATTTGTGAGGTCGGCCTCTGTAGGGGTGAAGTCCAGTTTAACTGTGCACCCTGTGAACACTCTGCTTCCCATGCTGACCTGGGCCCCTTCGTTTCATGGTCTCCTAGTCCATGCAGAGCGAGAAAAGTGAAGCGTTGGCCTTGTCGAGCTCCTCATGATGTTATTGACCCTTTGAGCCCCATCAGGCACCTATTTCCTACCAGGCTGAACTTGTCGAGTCTTGTCTCCTGTGACCAACCTAATTTTAGTGTATCTTTATGAGATGTGGTGACTAGAATTGCGTGCAGTATTTAGGATACATCTACACTGGTGGTATCAGGAGGTCTTCTGGTGGTATAAGGAGGTCTTCTCCTGCCCAATCTCCATGCTGAGCTGTTACCAAACTGTTCATGGTGACTCCCAAATCCCTCCTCTGCGTGGTGGGAGAATCATCAATACATGACGTGTATTGTTCCGCATGACAATTATCCAACGGTTGGTGACACAGAAATCCACCAGCCACTTTTTGCTCATGGCACTCTATTATTAGGTCCTTCAGCAACCCCCTGCTTTTATGTCGTTGGGTGTTTTAGTGGAGTCAACACCAATGCCATCCACTTCTCCATGTCATTTATCACTATGTTGAATGGATACTCTGGGACTCCACTAATGACCTCCCTTTGTGGGGAAGAGTATTTATTCCTACCTTCGCTTCCCAGCTTTTAACACACATTAGTCCCTGACAGAACCTGGCTGTTAACTCAGGGACAGCTCAGGTCCCCTGCGAGCCTGGCTGGTGCTCTTCTGCAAGCTCAGCTGTCCTCTGTCAGCCAGGACTCTTCATCCACCTCTTCCGAAGACGCCAACAAATTTGCCAAACGCAATTCCCCGCCTTGCAAATGTCACGTCAGTTCTTGTCTGAATAGCAGGTACTCGGCTGTCTGCTGAGTTTTGCATATAATGATTTCTATGAATTTGCCTGCACTAGATTCACCATCACGCGCTTAAAAAATCATGTCACAGTTTCTACCTTCCCTTCCTCTGATACCGAATTCATTTGAAGCAGTAGTTAACGAACAGCAGTTAATAAACGAAGCAATTTCATATCTGAGTTCCTCTAGCACTCCAGGGTGAATACCATCTGGGCCATTTTCTACATGTTCCTTTTATTGATTTGTTCTAAAAATCCCTTCTACTGGCATTTCAATTTGAAAGAGTTGGGCTGACTCACGTCCTGTAGCAGAAATTTCATTGTGGAGCCTCTGCGCTCCTCCACAGCAAGAGGAACTCATTGAGGTTTGCTGCTGCGGTCGTTTTAATTCCAGAGTTGGGCATTTTCTGTGCTCTTGCTTAGAGGGAGAACCATGCTGCTTCTCTCTGTTTGCCTTCCTGCCCTTTTATTCTAGTAAGGAGCAAACGAAGGAAAGGCTGAGTGAAACGAGAGCTGCAAGCTTCCTCAGATTTAGAGGTCCTGCAGCCAAGAGCGGGGAGCACAGAGGCTGCCCAGCTCCATCCCATGGGTGTGCTGACGTGCACCGGTCCCAGCAAAGGGACTGGTGGACCTGCTCAGCAGATCCAGCCCTGCCCAGAGAGGTAGCACCCTAGAAAATCTGTGCTATGGCGAAGCATACCCATGAAATGCCATCTCCCATGCTTCTTGGATTCGATAGGGAAAAAAACCCCTTTTGCCAAATTACTGGAATTTCACAGTGAACACCAGTGGTGCATGCTGCCAGTGTGGCTTCCCGCCCCCGCAGTAGTGCTGGACATGACAAAAGAGGCTGCCCTGGTTCAGTGGTGAAAAACAACCTTAACCATGATCCCAGACCTTCCCAAAAAGGCAACGGAGCGCAGACGACGGAGCTGCTGGACTCCTTCCTCCTCTCCCAAACACAAACAGAGAAGTGGACTTGCATCCTGAGGGACGGAGGAAGGAAGCGTTGCTTGTGCTCAGGAGAATCGTGACAGCTGTCTGAGCCTGCCTGCGCCTTTCTGCTGCTCGCAGCGGGGGGAACGGCGCGAGTCATCTGTCCCAGCCAGCTACCTGTTGCTGTAAGCGTCGAGCTGCGGGCTGAACTCCCAGCACCGTCTATTAACACCTATCCCCCACCAGCGAAACAGAGTGCTCGCAGCGGCAGATGAGAGATATAACTTTATTGATTATAAAAACAACCCCTGCTCCCGAAACACCATTAAAATAAGGCAGTAAAGAGTTCTCGGTCAAATTAAACATACATTTATAAGATTTCATGGTCACAGGACCATCAGCCCACTGAGTCTTGGCTCTCACCACAGCAACCAGACTACTGCTGTGCCCTGCTCCAGAGCTGAAGCATCAAAATATTCAGGGAATGCAGTGGCTTTTTGCAGACTGAGGAGGAGAGAACTGTGGATGTTTTAGAGCAAAAACATGGGACTTCAGCACGCTTGGGAGATCCCTTAAGGAACAGTCACTGCGACTGAAAGAAAATACTGAGATTGCAGAAAGAAATCCTGGAAGTTAAGCAACACAAAAGAATTTTGGGGCTTCAGCTGAAACAAAATCTAAGTGACAGATCTGCCTTTCTTTCCTTACCAGCTTTGAATCCCAGCCCTCACCCACACCCCACCCCAGGACACAGTTGTTTTTCAGAGAAAAAGGACTACTTACTTAGTTGGCTGAGGAAGCAGACTTGTCTCAGTAATTGACTAGCCACTGACTGAGGACCACATGTCCCAGGCTGTGGCAGGGTATTGATTATCTTCTGGAAGCAGCATGGTAAGTGCATTAGAATGGGGACCCGCCTTTCAGAGGTCACTTTATAAGTCAGAGCCACATAATTATAATGACACCAGCTCTTGCCATGATCGGGGCTGTTGTGTTTTGTTACCAGACACCAGTTATTTGTGTTGCTGCTCTCTGACTCAAAGTGTTTCACAAACCTGGCAGTCGCTTCGAACCTCCCAGTGGTTCTAGGTTACACTTTGGAAACAAAGCGGTGCGGGGCTGGAAGGCAGCGTCTGTGCACCACATCACGGAGTCTTGTTTACCAACTGCAAAGCTCTACCTTAAAAAACAAGAACCCCCGCTTCCTTTCCTGCCGTCTGATGAGGAAGCTATTCCAGGCTTACCCTGCTATGGGGTCCCTTCCTTTAATTTCCAGTATATGTTTATTCACGGACAGTTATAATCACTTCTTCTTTTGCCAACACTATTTTAAGCATAAAGATTTCCTTTGCCGGTGCTTATCTCTTCAAAATAATGACGGGTTGCAGTCAGATCCCCAGTGAGCATTTGCTTCCTTAGGCTAAGCAACCCCTGCCTCTTGGGGTCTCCATCATGCAAGCCTGGACTCACTCCTGGTTTTGCCTCAATATTTTTCTCTGCACTTCTGTCATTTCAGATCCTCTTTCCTACGGATGGATAATCAGATTTGTATGTAATACTCCTAATCAGGTCTCACCAGACCTAGTAACAATACCATGGATATGTCTTCATGCCAACAGGGAATACCTTGACCAACACATTGTATGATTTCATTTGCTCATTTCGGGGCAGAATCACATTACTGGTACACTAACGAGCCTGCAGCCAACACCCACACCAGGCTCCCACTGCTCCTCATCTGTTTCCAATTGATGAACAACTACTTTATAGCTCAATTTTTTGTTACTAGTCTTCAACCATCCAGCTGTGCATTTTATAATCCAGAATTTCGTTCTACTTCTGTTATTATTGTTTTCACAATAACCCATTGCTTTTTGGTCTCAATATGCCTGCTTAGCAGCAAATTCCCATCCTAGAGTGACCCTTAAGGGAAGTCCACTAGTGACCTTTCTGGCCGATACTTCCCCCTTGAAAGTTTTTCATTGTCACTCCCCTTTAGCCAGTCCTAAACCCTCACTTTCTCTGGCTTTGCTAGCAATTTAGTGAAGTGCCACTTGAGGCTGCAACAAATAAGAAAGCAAAGTGATTCTAGTGGTTATTATATTAAAAAAAAAACAAAACAAAAAACCCAGAAATTTTTAAACCACTTCTAGTTTGTTTAGTTTTTTTAAGCTGCTGGTTTGAATGATGCTGCTGGTAGCTTATCTCTAGAGCTGTTTACAATCAGTCCTCTGACAGTTGATTTCAGGAAGTCTCCTCACTTCTCAGTATTTTTTTTTCTTTCTTTCCCCGCCCCCCCCCCCTTCTCTCCT